TAGCGTTAACGAAGATTCTTATAACGAAGTCCTGATCGGCTGGATCAGCAACTTCGTTATATCGAGGTGTGACTGTAATGTATATTATTGTATATAAATTTTTATAAAGTAAAAACTTATTTATTAATCATAACAAAATAAATTTCAAATTAAAAAATACAGTATAAGTAAATATCAGTTAAATAAAGTAAAAATTCAAGGTTAATTTACAGTATATTAAATACAAATTTGTACAATTAAAGTCACGTGACCTTAATATAAACGCATTTTTAAATCAACGGGTGAATATTATTTTAGAACGGAGGATCGTCCGGATATCTGTTTCCTTTGAAAGAATCGGAAACGTTTGACTTTCTAAGAATATGATATTCAAAAAAATAAAGATAAGACCAAAAATGAACATTCTTATCTTATTTTAGAATTATTAAGTTTCAAATAATTCTCACGTTATCGTTACAGATGATCATTAATCATCTACATGTAACTATAATGCGCTCCAAATTTCCAAATTTGTCAAACAGCAAGAATTTGCTAACTCTGATATAATTTTATTATTACGGACAAAAAAATTTATTTATGGTTTCGGTGTTAGGTTGAAAGGTTTTTGGTTGGGAATTTAGAGTAAGCTGTGGCACAGAAACTAAATGACAAAAATTTTTTCGTAAATAACGAATATAATTAAATCGGAAGAATTAAAAAATTTTGTATATAAAAATTCGATCCGGACAACGTTTTTGTTAATCACTTTTAGTGTGGCCACATCTAATCCGATTCTTGATCTACTTACTAGAATATTTGTATACTCGTCATTTTGTGATTATCGATTTGTCCGTGCATTAGCAAAAATTTAAAACGGTCGAGTATCATATATTTAAATTGGATAAGGATCTGAAACATTTTTACATTTCTTTGTGAGGTCTTAATTAAGACGTCAACAAAGTGTTGTAACTAATTGCGGTGTTCCGCGATTCACATAACAATATTACAAGGTAGCGAGGAATATTTGATCTTGCACAAACTTTAAAATGATTCTAATTTTGTAAATTATAATAATACATTGAGCATTTTGTAGTTAACTTAGTAATCGTAATTAAAATCATCAATTCACATGGCTATCAGATTTATTGTAACCGATTAGAGAGTTTGCAAAATTTTATATAAAACCCGCCAGGGTACTATCGCAACCCTTCCATATTCTTTGAAATCAAACATTACGCTTGAACTAATATTCTAAAAAAAAAAAATTTTAATAACAATAATAATGAGCGAATCAACTGATATCAATCCTGAAAAAGGAGAAATTGATGTAGAAAAAGAAAAAAAAGACACGATTAATGATGATGATTCTCCAATCCCGATGGTTGCTGCGGTAAATATAATAGTTTTCAAGTTTTCCGATTTAAATTATTTTTTATTATTTATTTATTTATTTTTTAAGGCTGTTAGCACCGAAGATGATCCAAGTTTACCTTGCTTAACTTTTAGATTTTGGGTTTTGAGTACGGTGAGTCATTTTTTGTTTCTCCGTGACTTTGACGAATCATATTAATGAAATGATCATTAAATTTAGTTCTTCACGGCACTTGGTGCAGCGATATCCACATTTTACTATTTTCGTCCGAATAGTCAAACTTACTCCGTCTTTTTTGTGTTGCTTATATCTTTTTTCTTGGGACATGGGATGGCCAAGGTGCTTCCAACGAGAAAATTTCGAATTTGGCGATGGGAGTTTAGTCTTAACCCAGGTTTTTTATAATTTTAATTGAAAACCTGATAGAAAACCTTTGCGTTTAATCGATACGAATAATATTTGCTTTACGTTTCATTTTGATCAACAGGTCCATTCAATATCAAAGAACACGTTTGTATAGTAATAGCTGCAAATACTGGAGGCGTATCGGCATACGCTATTGTATGTATCGATTAATTTATTTAGATATTCGCAAAGGGCGTCACATTAACCAATTATTATTTTATGTAATAGGATGTCATTTCCATGCAAGAACTTTTCTATAACACCCACATACCCTTTTTAAAAGGTTTCTTTCTGCTTGTAAGTTCTCAAGTTTTGGGATACGGAATGGCAGGATTTCTTAGAAAATGTAAGTCTTACTTTAGGGCTTCAGTTGAGTAATATAGAGAAGGACTAATTAACATATTTGGAATAAATAGATTTGGTTCGTCCAGCAAACATGATTTGGCCTGTTAACCTTGTATACTCGACCTTGTTCAGTTCATTTCACAACAGTATGCCCGCAGCACGTCAAAAACTTCGATATTATGCTATTGTATTTGTCATTGTGTTCATTTGGCAATTTGTGCCGGTATACATGTTTAACCTCTTAACAAGCATAGCTCTATTATGCCTAATATCTCCATACAGTAAGGTGATGAATAGATTAGGAAGCGGTTATCATGGTTCGGGAATATTAAATTTTAGTTTGGATTGGAATGCAATCGGACAATTCGGACCATTATTTACCCCATGGCATGTAATATTTTTGTTAATTGAAAATGAATTTTGCTAAAAATCTCGATAAATAACTTTTTGATTTTCCTTCGTTTAGGTGGGTTTCGGTGAATTATTTTGTCGGTGCAATTATTGGTTCATGGATTATTGTGCCAGTTGTATACTACGCCAATCTCTTGTAAATATAAATTTACATTTAAAACGTGATTTTTTAATTAACAACCTTAACGCATTCTTTTTGTTTATTTAGTGATGCAAATAAATTTCCTTACATATCTTCACATCCTTTTGACAAAGATGGAAAAAAGCAAGCGATTTTATGTTTAAATTTAAATATTTTTCCGGATAAAGACACGAATAATTAGTAATTTAACAATTTCACTTTTTAATAGATATGATCAGTTATCAATTCTCGATAAAGAGACCGGTTCTTTAAATGAGACGGCTTACGAAAATTACAGTCCTGTGTATATATCGACCAGCTTCGCTTTTACTTATCTGTATAGCTTCATGATGCTTACTGCAACCATAAGTCACGTTTACCTTTTTTATGGTGAAGAAATTTGGAAAAGATTCAAAGCTAGTCGCAAAGAAGAAGAGAAAGATGTTCATTGCAGAATGATGGATAAATATCCAGGTAACATTGAGCACATATTTTGATTTTAGTGATCCTAATAACTTGAAATTTATTTTGTTTGTTTGTTTTTTTTAGAGGTTCCAAATTTTTGGTATGCGGCAGTATTTGTTAGCATGGCAGCAATTGCTATTGCACTTGGATACATAAATGATGCGCATTTACCATGGTGGGCACAATCACTGTCTATTGCAATTGCAGTGAGTATGGTGCTTCCAATCGGTAAATTTTGTTCTATACTTTATTTCCTTTTTTCCGTTAATTAAATATTTGTTAAAACGACACGCATATTTGAAATTTGTAGGAGTGATAACGGCGATATCATCAAATACCCAACTCGGTTTGAATGTGATAACTGAAATGATCTGTGGTTATCTGCTTCCTGGCAATCCTATTGCCAATGTGTACTTTAAATTGTATGGTTATATGGCATTGTATCAGTGTCTTCTCTTACTTTCCGACCTTAAGCTTGGTAATTATATAATGAATGTATAATGTGACCAACTCGTACTTTTATGAATAATTTTTATTCTTTGTTATAAAGGTCATTATATGAAAATTCCTCCACGATACATGTTTATTTCTCAATTGTATGCTACGATCATTGGAGCCTTTGTAAATTATTGGGTTTGCCAACTTATTATTCAATACAAGCGACCATATCTTGATAACACAGAAGTTGATCCAACCGGCCAAGTAATCTTCAATTTTCTTTTTCTTTTTATTTTTTTTTTGACTCGAGAGAATGTATATTAAATAATTTTTTCTGTTTCATAAAATCATAGTGGACAGCTAATCAGTCGCAAATTTTTAACACGGCATCAATAGTATGGGGCTTGATTGGACCAGCAAAAACGTTCGGGGTAAGAAAACTTATTTGATTGACGTTTCTCCACCTTACCAAATACCCACATTTAAAGTCTACACATTTTTATTTAGCCCGGTTCTTTTTATCAACCACTACTTTGGGGATTCGTAATTGGGTTCGTTTTACCAATCCCGATTTACCTCTTACATCGAAGATTCCCAAAAGCTAGGTTTGATTTGGTTAACATACCATTAATTTGCACTGGTCTTAGTATAATTCCTCAATACTATAGAAATTTTATAATTATGGGATTTTTGGCAAGTTTTATGAGTCAGTATTATGCCTATCGTTACAAGAATAGGTAAGTTAACTGTATATGTGACGAAAGTATTTTATCCTGATTTTTTTAATCTCTAATTATATAATTTTATTTTGACCGTGATTTAGATGGTGGAAAAAGTAAATACAGCATTTTGACCTATTTTGCTATTTTGATGTTGTAATTTCATAACCGCGTCTAATGCTTTGTTTTTCAATCTTCAGATATAATTATGCACTTTCTGCGGCATTGGATAGTGCAACGCAAATCGCTACGACGATTATCTTCTTTTGTTTTAGTGGAATTGTTCAGGTGGGATATTATTTAAAAACGAGTAAAAAAAAAAATAAAAATCTTCTTTTGCATATATATTAATGATATAAATTTAATCTATAAAAGATACCGTTTCCAGAATGGTGGGGGAATAATCAAGCAAGTGAAGGTGAAAGATGCTTTGTTTCAGGTGAAATTTGATGATTAAAAAACAAATCTGAAAGAGGATGGTTAGTTTTGAGGAACCATTGTTCACATGTCTTAATTATATAATTTTAAATTCATTATTGTTTACGATTTTTAATATTTAATAAATAAAACATATCTATGAAACGAGTATTATATATAATGGTTACTGCCCGCTTTCATTTGATAGTTTTTTTTTTTAAAAAAAAAAAATCAATCGCATATATACAATGTAAAGGCGTTATTAACATTAAATAAAAGAAGTTTGATTCTCACAAATTTTATTTTGAGATAGAACAGTAGTTGCGGTGTCATAGAAATCGAGATTAGGGTTTCCGTTTGAAATACAAATTTCATTTCAAATATTTGAAAGTTTTTAAAATAATTTCAAACGAATATCGAAATTGATTTCAAATATCGAAAATCATTTCGAAAAGAATATATGAAAAAAAAAAAAATCAAAAATCAAAAAAAATTATAAAAAAATAAATAAAGTAAAATAAAAAAAAAAAGAATCGATCGAAGAAAAAAAAAATATGTTTATATATCGAAAAACAAAAAACAAAAAAAAAAAATATTAAAATTAAAAAAAAAAATAAAAATCGATCGATAAGATCGATCGAATTGAAATCAATTTCGATATTCAAATATTAATTATGTATTTTCGAATATTTTGAATTTTATTTATTTACAAACAAATATTCGAATATACTATTTTCAAACGGAAACCCTAATCAAGACTAATTAGCAGGAAAAATGATTCCATGCACGAAAACATTATGTCAACTCATTCATATAATCAATCCCTTCATCCATTGTAAAGGTATAATTGGTTTCCGATTCCTGGAAGACTGCCATGAATTTTTTTCCCCTAAAGAATAAACTTGGTAAAATCATGCTTCCTCCTTTGCTGCTGCAACAGCACTTTTTTTTTTTAAAAAAAAAAAAAATTATTTTTAATTCTTAGCCGCAGTCACCACAGAACATTTTTTAATGTATTGTCTATTTGGTAAGTTTATCGGTTATATTTTTCCATTTTGTTTATTTTCCTTTTTTTCATTCATTCATTCCTTTTCCATTCCTCCTTTTAACCTGAATTTTTTTTTTTTTTTTAACATTAAAAATGACTATCATCATCTTCTCTTATAATCTTATTGGAATGATGTTAAATCCTTAAAAATGACAATTTCCGACGTTTAGTTTCAGAAAGGATGTAGATGCCTTTGTTTGGTCAAACGAAGGAATACAAGCAACAGAACCTGTTCTTCTCAATTTCTTGATATCATTGTTGACAATTAATTCTTTCAGATTTAGCAATCGAATGATTCATAAATATTTTCTCCTCGAGTATTTCGTAATTGGCTTTTCGTATTCTGACGGTAATTAGGGATGGGGGGTTCAAAAAGAGCGACTCAGAGTCGGTTCTGTTCTGGAACCGATTCTAAATTCAGCATATTTTTTAGTTCGAGTCATTAAGATAACCAATCAAAAAAATTTCTTTAATTGATCTAAATTTTGACTTGACATTCAAACTTAATTTACTTTATTGGAACCGAAATGGAACCAAGGGAACCACACCTGTCCTTAATGGTAATTGCTTAGGGTAAATTTGCTTTGCTGGATTCAATCGATAGACTCTTTTCAGACGACTCAGCCGCGACTCTTAATTGAAATTTAACAATCATAAATTTTATTATAAAATTATTATGATATTGTCTGATGGAATATTTTTTCCAGAACTGAAGTTGAAAGAACCATTTGACTAAAATTTTAAAACTTTCATTTTATCGAATATTTATAAGTTTTTGATCAGTCGCGACTCATTTGAAAATAGCGGAGTTGGATGCTTTTTTTTTTACAAAGGTTGGTCAGCCCGTCACCAACACTACTACTTCAGAAATAAAATAAAAAAAAAATTTCGTTTTTATTTTACAATAAGCGATTTCTATGTTGTACAGTTACAAGTTATGTGTTTCACGTGACCGGTGGTTCCCATACAGGAAATTTTCTTTACGGTAATAAAAAATTTTGGTTTGGTATACATCAGTTACATCAGAGTCGTTAGTTTAATTTGTAACGTGTCTAAAATAATCGATATATTATCGAATCTTGTTACAAGGGGTTTGCATATTAAACATCGTTTCTATAAATTGTATCTTTTTATAGAAATGATTTTTTTTTTTTATTTATCAACATCGCAATGTAGATTTGTTAACAACAATTCGCTTTTGTATGAAAATTTAATGCGAGCATTTTTTTTTAAAAAAAACATTTGAATTAAGTAAATAGGGAGGTAAGCTATTAAAATCACGTTACGGATCATATGATTTACTAGGTAACTCGATTTTAATAGCAAACCTCCAATATTCACTCGATTAAGTAATTTCTTTTATAGAAATGTTTATCCACATCCTTTTTATATCACTGGTAACGAGTCAATGAAGAAGGTTCTGAACGTTTCGAGGAATTACTTTACATAATTGTCCGATTTTGCGTTGATGAATCAAAGCTGTTTTGAGTAAACCTTAGAAGCGATAACGACATTAGCAAGGAAGTAACGCCTGATTTCTCGGTATCATCGATAATTTGGTTAGAGTATAAAATGATTGCAATAACAAGATCACCTATTAGAATTGCTATAAAATTGACATTTTCCAAAACTTCGTCTCCAAGGCACTTCTTTATATGCAGTACATCATGATTGTGCACTATTTTTTGCTGTTCTTATCGTTATTTATACAATTTTAAAAATAAAATATTACGTGAGAAAATTTTACGTTAGTTAATAATATTGTTGAGTCTCATCTCGGTATTCAGGGTGAAAAATTTTTCAATGCGCTATACGTATTAGACTTTTCCTTTTGCATTGGATATCATGAAATATCTCTGTATAGTGCCCTGTCGTACATCATCTCGGCATGAATTAAAGATATTTTTTTTTTTTTAAAAAAAAAATAATGTACTGCGTATTTATTTCGATCGAAGGTCTCGTTACAATTAAAACTAAATCCATCCCCCCAATTGGTAACGATAACGATGAATACACCACATGTTAAAAAAATTCAAAACCAAATTCGGGAGTAACCTTGTTAATAAATTAAATCACTTAATGCAAAATACAAAGGTATAGTAAAGCAAAACAGATAAACCACCAACTTTACATGTTATCATGCACCCTCGTTATTCCATGAAGTTACGAAGTTCGGGCTGGGCAACCAATGAACTCTATCAAATTTGCTAACAATCAACATCCTTAGTGCCCTATCAATTTAGAACATTTGAAAATTAGATTTCTCCAATGTGACCATACGAGTAAAATTCACATGATCAACAAAGTATCACGGGATTAAATAATATTTAAGCTGATCGTACACATTTTTTGTTTACGTTAAAACTTGATCTCTCATTCTTGCTTCACGTTTATTTCAAGCCGCAACAATGTTTGAATTAATTAAACTTTTCTTGGGGAATTGTATAATGATCTTTATCGAATGTTTTCGTTTCTTCATTTGGAGTAACTATCAAATATTTTTAAATTCATCAAATCAACCATATCGATACTAAAGCACTTTAAATATTTTAGGACCATTTGTTCGAACTTTATTCGGGATGAAATTCTTAAGAGCAAAATGGTGCGTTTTATTATTTCAGAAATTCTTTAAAAGTTGTTCTACTATTCAACACACAACATTTCTTTTTCCACGTTTTAAGGCTTGACGTAAACTACGATCATTATATTGATACGGATAATCGGCAAATTTATATGATAGGAATTTCTCGAGGTCTTGTAGAAATCGATGATGACCTTCTATTAGCTTTTGACTTTGGAGACAAGACAGTAGTTTTCAAAATATATGAAATTCCAAATTTATTACATATATTCTTCGATCAAGGAAACGCACAATTTGTGATTAATCAAATGTATTATAAGGATTCTGATATTTTGGAGATTAATTTCGTTAATTTTATCCCACTTATTGTAAATTTCAAGAAAACCGAGGTGGAAGGTATTGAGATGGGAATGGATCACGTCGGAAAGCTTGTTTGTTTACACTTGTGTAATTTTAAGAAAAATGAATTTATGTTGAAGTCGTTATCAGAAGAAGAGAGAGATGAAAGATTAAATCGTTCGATAGAGATAATGAAAGATAGAGAGAAATCGCGAGCGTAAGGAAAAGGAAATGGAAATGAAACTTTAAAATGCAAGAAATTCAAGAAGTTTATAAAGAAAATATCATTTAACTTTAACATCAAATTTGCTTTTTCGAATTATATTAAATAAAAAATATTTCAATACCGTTAAAGGATCCGAAATCTTAATGACAAAAAAGTGAATTCGGGTACACAATATAAAAAATTAAAGCTCTTTATTTTTTTCTGTTATTTTATTTTTTTTAGATTTACACTTTAAGATAAGTTGTATACAATTTTGTTAATTTTATTCTAAGGAAATGTCTTGTAAAGGTTTCATTCAAAGTGGATATTAAATTACACAAAATTAAATAATATCAAATTTTTTTTAAGATTAAAATTAAAATAGTAAATAATTCATACATTAACACATGATAAACTATATATTAAAAAAAAATTATTATAATAATAAATATTTTAAAATTATTTATTTTTTAAAACTAAATAAATTTATTTTATAAATTTAAAAAAAAAAAATGCTTTTTCTCTAAATTCTAAAATAAATTTATAAAAGTTTCTTTTAAAGTATTTTTATGAATAATTTTTAAAATAATTTTTTTTTTTTTTAAAAAAAAAAAAATAAATTTTTTGCTTATTTACTATTATTATAGTGTAAATATAATTTTTAAAATTTATTATTAAATTATATATATTAAGGTAAATATATTTAATAATGTTTTTTATCATGCTTATAAATTACAAAAAATAAGGTAAATTAAAAATATTTACAAGACTTTTAATATTTTTAAAATCTTTTTTATAAATATTAGTAATAATTAGTATTTTAAGGTATATTGTTTTGTAATAAATCTATAGCTAATTAAATTCTTATACTCGAATTTCGTTTGTAAAAATAATTATATTATGATGATATTTTAATAAAAACTCCACTCATTACTGTACAATTAATTTAACATAAAAAAAAAATTTTTTTAAGTGGCGCAAATTAGATTCGATGACGATTTATTTTAAAGTACGCATTATATTGAAATTATTTAAATAACATAAAAAAAAATTAAAATGTGACAGATATGGGGATGGATGTTAGATTCTCAGTTTATTAGGAAAAAAAAAAAAAAAAAAAAAAGTAAATTTCCTAATAAGTAAAAATTAACGAACGTCAAATGTCGTCAAAATTATGTCGAAATGTGGATCGGGCAACCGCGGAATTTTAAGAAAAAATGTCTTGCCTTAAGATCGAAAGATAAAATCAATAAAAAAAAAAAAAAAAATTCGGTCAAAATAATATTTAGAACTTTTATAAAATTTATAGGCTTTTTCACTGCGACGTGAAAATTCTCATTGATGACTCTGACTCAAAAAGCACGAGATCATTATGCAATCGAGGTGGTTAATTTTTTTAATGTTTGCTAAATTAAGTAATAATAGATATGGGATGGACTAAAAATATATTAATTATCTAACGGATCCTACATCTTTTTTTTTTCTTTTTCTCCTCGTACTTTTCATAACTAAAACAACATTTTCCAAACAACTTTCTAAACTAAAACTTTTCGAACGAGCTTTTCCAACATTTTCGTGCTATGACAAGGTATTTGTTGTATTAGTAGTGGTTTTCCATTCTGGTTACGAGCTCAACAATATTCGCGAAATATTGTTGACCTACAGGTTCGAATACCCGGGATGTTCATTTCTATAGACAAGTGCTATAGCGTAATTATTTTTACGAGGTCGTTCCTTTAATACGTTGATTCTTAAGAACTGACTCCCAACCGCCCTAAGCATGAATTCCTTACTCTTTCAATAATATTTAGGTTACTAATCTTTCCTTTTTTTTTTATATTATTCTAATAGGCGTACCGGTGAAATCGCGTAGTTTGAACCTTTCTCGCTATTGAAATTATTTGAACGCGAATTCTATATCTTTCGCGCTTTGACAAGGTATATGTTGTATAAGTAGTGGTTTTCCATTCTGGTTACGAGCTCAACAATATTCGCGAAATATTGTTGACCTACAGGTTCGATATACCCGGGATGTTCATTTCTATAGACAAGTATTACCCCAGTACTTTAACGTAATTATCTTTACGAGGTCTTTCCTTTAATACATTGACTCTTAAGATCTGACTCCCAACCACCCTAAGCACGAATTCCTTACACTTACAAAAATACTTAGATTACTAATCTAACTTTTTTTTTATCATTCTAATAAGCATACCGGCGGTGGAATCGTGCAGTTTGAACCTTCTCGCTGTGAATTTTATTTATACGCGTTCTTCCCATAGTTTTTTCGCGCTTTTTACAAGGTATATGTTGTATAAGTAGTGGTTTTCTATTCTGGTTACGAGCTCAAACAATATTCGCGAAATATTGTTTGACCTACAGGTTCGATATACCCGGGATGTTCATTTCTATAGACAAGTATTACCCCAGTGCTTTAACGTATCGATAAGTAATTATCTTTACGTGGTCGTTCCTTTAATACATTGACTCTTAAGATCTGACTCCCAACCGCCCTAAGCACGAATTCCTTACTTTTCAAAAATACCTAGATTACAAATCTAACATTTTACTTTTATCATTCTAATAGATCTTCTGTTCCTGTTTCTCTTCCTATCCCTCCTGTTTTTTCTCTTCCTCTTTACGCCCTTCCTAATACTACAACATATCGTTCTCCTCCTTTCTTCTTCTTTAAGTTCATCCCCTTATTCATCCCCTTCTACTTCTCCGTTTATTCCTTTTTCTCTAATTTTCTACTCCCTCCTTTACCCTTCGCATTTTTACCGTCCCTTTATTTACTATCGGCTTCTTAGGCGACCGGAGCCGATGAATCTTGATCCACCAGGCATTTTTATCGAAAACCTTTTATCCTACCTAATCAGTGGCCTTAACCCAATGGATCTTAAGCTCCTAGTATCTACCTTTCTGTTAATTTTATTTACATAATAGTTCGGAGCCTTTGAACCTTAACTGCTAATCCAAATCATGAACCAAAAATTCTCCTGCACTGGAATTTATATGATTTACTAGTTTGGGATCGCTTTTTTGGACAGGTGAAGAATCTTCTTATCCAATTTCTAAATGAAAAGTACAACGCTCATCTAAAAAAAAAAAAAGCTTTATTTATATACACGTTTCCTGGTATAAAAGTAAAAAGTAAAAAATTGATGATGATTAATCGGAATCAATGCAAACATTGGATCGGAACAAACTAAATTTACATAATATCACAATTATATAATATTTAAAATAAAATAAAATGCTTCTCAAATTCTAGTAAAAAAAAAAAAAAATATCGATTAAATCTAGCAATTATGCCAAATAAGGTCAATGCAGGAGCAGATTAACCGTACGATCGAAAAATTGCATTTTCCGCTCGCGCATCAGTAATTTAAATTTCAAACAAATAATATAAATCAATTACCATGCTGCGTAATATCATGAAGTATCTCTTAATATCAGTGACGAATTTTCTCAAAATTTAGTTGCTTTTTTGAGACATAATTTTCAAAAACTTTCTATTCAACTTGTTTTAATTACAAATACAAAAATGTCTTGTACTCTTTTTAACCGCTACTTTCGCTTAACAAAATTTCGCATCATTAATGGTCCTGGTTATACAACTTCAGCGACTTCTCGTTATCGTCGTCCGAGAACTTCGTACTCGTCGTCCGACTACTTCAGCGTCATCTCGTTCTCGTCATCCGTCAACTGAAGCTTCTCTTGGTTCAACGTCAAACATTGAATATAATATAAATTTATACTTTAAAGAATTTTTGTTAGCATTTGAGAAACGAAATGAACAAATGTTGATGGAATTTGAGAAACGTAATGAACAAATGTTGATGGAATTTGAGAAGAGAATGAAGGAAAATGAAATACTCGTTTATGAAAACATTGAACATCGTATTTCGGCTAGGGATGGGGACGGTTCGAAAAGAGCGACTCCGAGTCGGTTCTGGAACCGATTATAAATTCAGCATATTCTGGGTTTCCCTGAGTTACAAACCATTTTTAACCAATTTTAAAAATCGAACCGGAACCGACTCCGGACCGGTTCCAAGAGTCGGCTCAAAATCGGATTGTCATCAAATTAAAGGTAATAATAGGACGAATTTGTTTGATAACCAGTCAAAAAATTTTTTTAAATTGATCATCAAATGATGCTCTATTAGTATAAATTTAACTTAACGCTCAAAGTTTAATTTACTTAAGAAGAGTCGAAGTAGAACCGAAGAGGAACCGAAATGGAACCGATAGAACCGTCCCCATCCCTAATTTCGGCCGCTGAAAAAAAAGTATTAGTCCTTGTAGTTGGAGCCTTATTTGTAAATTTATGCGAGTGATTTTTATGAAAAAACTTTAAAGAAAATGAATCTCGCTTAACTAGGATGTAATATATATAAAATTTTAATGTAAGTTTATATAATTCGGTACAATTTTTTTTTTTTTTTTGGCCAAATACTGATAATATAAACTATTTCTTTTAAGTGCACATCATTTTCTTATTTATATTAACATTCCTCATAGATCTAGAAATTATTTTTCCGTATCCACCCTAATAGTTTTGTTATTATTTGATCTATTTGTGTAGTTTTCAGATATTTGTATAATTGTAATTGAAAATTTCTTTCGTTTTGAAATTGTTCTGCGTTAGGATATTCGATCGAATAGTATTCATATTTTTAATATTAATTCAAAGATAGTTTTTTTTTCGGCTTCTGGTACGAAAACCGTTGTCACTATAAATGCCTAGACTAATTTCTACATTTAATTTGAACTTATATTTTTGTTTTAACGACAACGAAAAAAAGTGAATTAGATCGCGCTATATATGATTTCAAAATTTTAACATTGAATTTTTCAATCTAAATAAATCTGTATTTCGACTTACAAGGTAAACATGTTTGACCGATACATTTATAATTTAGCAAATGAACTTAGATGCTTCGATGAATTTTTTTAATATGGATTAAAAAAAAAATTTGATAATAAAAAGGTTAATCCGTATTTGGCTACGATTTTGCATAACCATAGATAATGATTAAAATAGTCACGTGAATTTTCTTGTTTCACTTCGCGCAACAATTATTCAGTTTTAGTTGCCAGAGGTAATTTTTTTTAATTAATTATATATTTACAATCAGGTTGGATCGCTACTTGTCGCAAGGTTAATATGATATGATTTTATTTCTAAAATTTTTTTTATGAATTTCCGCGGACCGCAGCAATTCTATAGTTTCGGGGGTTTTCTTTTAAATCAATAAGACCGTCATCAGGACTGCAATAAAATAATAAAATTTGATTTACGAGTACAAATACAACAGACAATAGATAAAAGAACATTAGATAATTCATTTCGATTAAAAATCATCGGGAGCACATTAAATTAAATTTAAAAAAAAAAGTGTAACAAAATCGAAACCGTGTCTAAAAGTGTTATTACCATAATCGAAATTGTCGCGGGTCCTCCACCACTACCACCATGATTATACATATGATTTCGGTCAAGAAAGTTTCGGTTCTTCATTAAACATAATCTTGCTTTAATGTTTATTGTTTTTAATTTATTATACTGTATCAACACAAAAATATGCAGCAAAGATTTTCCCCTTTTTTTAAAAAAAATAAAAATATTTAAAGTGTAATACATGAATTTAACATTAATCAATCCAATTGAAAATATTTGGACTATTAAACTTGACTGCCAAATCCAACTCCAATTGTATTCGGAATTTGGACTAAGTTCACATTGTTTAGAATCTTTTAGACAATGCTATCAATGTTGCGATATTCCTGATTGATCTCAATGTTTATTACTGACAAAAATGCTAAATGGAAAAGAAAATTAATGCAAAAAAGTATTTAGAAATTTACATGACTATTTTTTACCATTTTATGAATGAAAATGTATGCAATTTTCAGAATGATAATGCATCTATGCACAGAGCAAATATTTGTAATTGATTTGAAAAAGCCAGTCTTAACCCAATCGAGCATATATGGGAGGTAAGCTATTAAAATCACATTACGGATCATATAATTTACGATGTTCGTAACTTGATTTTAATAGCAAGCCTCCCATATGTGATTATCTAGGAAGACATGTCTATAAGTATGATTCAAGACCAAAGTCTACTGACAAACTGATCTTAGCATTGCAGGAAGAGTGGATAAAAAATTGACCGAATTTTTTAAATTGGAAAAGTTCATAATCTTAGAAGTATGTGTTTTATTTTTTGTTATTAATAAAGTTTCGGAGAAATTAAATGTTAAAATTATAATAAAAATTTTCAATTTTGCCGATCATTAAAATTTGCTGTGGCGCAATAAAAAATTTTTATTTTATTTGGTATACATAACCTATGCTATGCAAAAGGGCTTATAATCTAATCTCATTTCTTTGGGAAAATATGCCTAAGTTTAACAAATAAATTTCAAACGAATTTTTTATTTATATTTTTCTTTTTTATTTTTAAAGGGCGAACTTATTAATAACGATAAGCTCAAAAAAAAGATTATTTGTCGCCAACAGATTTCAACATCATCACCATATCTTGCCAGTAATTTCAAAAGAATTAATGATTTGACGAATTTCAGATAATTCCTCGTTAGAAAGCTTTACATTTCCTGCACCAATATTTTCTTCCAAGTATTTAATCTTCTTCGTACCAGGAATAACGATCATGTTATCACTCTAAAAAGAAGAATTTAAATCAATAAAAAAGGCTAACATGAATCATGAACTCAAATAAGATTTAATAAAATTGAGTAAATACTTGAGCTAGAACCCAAGCCAAACAAAGTTGACTTGCTGTTACACCTTTCTTGGTGGCGAATTCTTGAATTTTATCAACAATGTCCAAATTCTTTTTAAAATTCTCACCCGAGAAACGGGGCAAAGTTCGACGGTAATCAGCCTTATCTGGTGCAAAATCATCGATCGTTCGATACCTACCAGTTAAGAATCCACGACCGAGTGGACGATAAGCAACAATAGTAATACCTAATTCATGACATGCTTTCATAACTCCATTAGTTTCAATATCAAGACACCATGGACTATATTCAACCTTTGAAAATAAACGATTATCAATACTTATTAATTCATCGTTTGTTTTAAATTTTACAACTCATACCTGAACAGCTGAAATAGGATGAATTTTATGAGCGCGTCGAAGTTGATCTTCATTACATTCCGAGAGTCCGATATATTTTACTTTGCCTTCTTTAACAAGTTCCGCCATAGCAGCAACAGTTTCTTCGATCGGACTTTACAAGATAAAGTTTAATTCTTATTCATAATATCTCATTTCAACGTCAAAAAAAAAAAATCAAGATTCATACACGCTTACGTCTTGGGAATCATACGATGCAGATAATAAAGATCGATCTGACTAATCCCCAACCTTTTCAAAGAATTGTCACAACATTGGCGAACGTACTCGCGATCTCCTCTTCGATCTACAAATTTTCCTTCTTCGTTTCGAATAATTCCAAATTTCGTGCAAACAAATACTTCATCACGGCGGCAATCTTTGATAACTTTTGATAAAAGGATCTCACAGGCTCCGTTTCTTCCATAGATATCCTAAAAAACGTATATACAAAATTACAATGAGCATGAAAGGAATTACCGGTATTCATAGTTTTTTTAATTGCTTGACGCAGTTACCGCAGTATCCAGAAAGGTACATCCTAACTCGAGTGATCTTTTCAGTACTTTAAGGCTTTCATCCTCGTCAACGGATCCATTAAATTCAACCAATCCCTTTTTTTAAAAAAAAATTTTCAAAATAAAACAAAAGAATTATCTCGCGAGTCTCTTATTAAATCTTAGCAACATATAGTCACGCCTTATACCATGCATCCCAAGCCAATAACTGTGATCTTGACTCCGGTTTTATCTAATTCGCGGGTTGGAAGAGACATTTTAACTTTATTTCACTCATTGGATGTGAAAACTGATGTGAAAACTTTTTTGAAAAGGCTAGTATTTAAATATGTTTAAAATCTAGACTAAAACGTAACTCTATTTGGGAAGTTCTCTTGTGAAGATCATCATCTTTTGGTAACTGTATCACAATCCTTTTTAACTTTTGACCGAAATTGAGAATTTTGGTATGTTTTGATTTTGATATTATCTAATGAGAAATTCTGCCATCAGTTAATTCTTGGATTAGTCTTTGACGATAATTAGAATAATTATGTGTATTCCTCCATTCTGATTTTAGATGTGAATGAAATAACTTAACCTTATGAGTAAAAGACAAAATAATATTTGGAAAGAAGTTTCTAATTGTTGATTTAATATGAAGGTAAAAAAAACTTATTGATAACTCTTAACGTAAACCTTTTCTGTTCATTTTCTTATGATAAAAGTTTATCAATCATACAAAATTGTCATTATTACGCCATAGAATCAGACATTATTAAAGAATGTCTCGTGACCAAGATAAGTGATATAGATAAAGTTAATTTTAGTTATTATATTTATTTCATTTATATTATATTATTAGTAAATTAATTTGAGTTCAAGGATAATATAATCAATTAAATTCATTTATTACCTTCCCTAATAATCGGTCGTTAGTTCTTTACTAAATTGAGATTGATCGTTTCAAATAATGCCTACATTAAAACCTATCATTACTAATAAAACCCCACATTAACAAAGTTTAAATTAGCAATAACAAGTCCTGTAAGGGAATAGGCTCCCACGTCAGCCTAAGTTGACTCCTTTTCCTTTTTTGTAAGGGTAAGATATTTTAAGAGAATATTACAAGCACCATTTATGTCTCTATCAAAATTTATTTTACATTGGGGCAGCAAAATTCCTTAGATCTACCTAATTTTTTATGAATGTAGCCACAGAATCTGCAAGTTTTGCTTGTGTATTCTTCTGTACAAATTACAACTTGACACCATGGATATTCATGTGACTTATGAACCAAATGCTGTCAGAAGTGATAATGTGACCATGTACACATAGCTCGAGCAGTCTTGAAACTAATGCGTCATTGTCTACATCGGACCATTCCTTGGGTGCGAAATTCAGATAGTAGTATTATACAATAGTTTTCACAAAGCCATTTAACCAGCTTATAATGACAATCATTCACAAGACAATGGATTTTCTTATAAATTCGCAGCATAACACAATGTAATCTACAATTAAAAAGTAGTAAATACATTAAATTATAAATAAATATTAAATAATTAAAATAAATAATAAATAAATTTTACCTGTAACATTTTCACTTATTTTTTTTCCATGAATTTGGTCACGCTTGCTTTGGAGTTTGTCATATGCATGACATAATCTGTAAACTCAGCCAATGTCATTTTTCCTCATTCAACAGCTGTTCCGCTTGGAACATAACCAGTCATAAATGTACGTACACCTGAATCCAGAGAAATCACACCTGATCCTTCCTATTAAATTATTAAATATATAATTAATTGAAATTTTAATTTAAAAGATAATATAAATAATAAAAAAAAATAGATAAAAACCTTTTGAAATATAAGACCTTAGTTTTTGGCCTGTATTTTAAGTGATCTGGATGCACAAAGATAAAATTCACCAAGCTGATTCAGAACAAGTCAGCTATCATGTTCAAGTTTTTCTGGAAGAGGTTCTAATGACTTTATTTTATGAAGAAATGAATATTCACCACGAGATTTACCCAATGCTTTGATAAGGTTGCAATAAACTGCTGAGGATCTTTTTTAGAACGAAATTTCATATTAAATTTTTTATGATTAGAAGTAAAGTTAGCAAAGAATATCCTTTAAGCAAGTCATTCATTGCTTCATCACGAATGTCATAGGGAGTTTCAAGAACCCATTTAAGGTTAGTATTAATGAAGTTTTTGGCGTTGAGACATAATGCGCATAGATCCTTCTTTTTTTGATTGATATCTTCTTTTTCGATTGCAGTAAGATACCGATTGTACGTCCATCGTGCTGTTTCCATCCATCTTCTGAGTTTCAGACGCTCCTGTGGTTGGAATAAATGTGAATCCATTATACCTTGCCTGCTGGAGGTTTCTTCATTTCTTTCTTGGATTTCTTGGAACTCTTGGGCAACATCTCTTCTCTTTTTGTGATTTGTGGCTGAACGTAATCCATTATGTCACGTCATAAACACTGTAATGAGTTTTCTTGCTTCACTACTTTCAGCACAAACGTCTACTGAGTACTACAAGGTGAGTTCCATTCTTCTCAAAGATCCATTCCACAAGCTCAAATCCAAAATGGCATAAACAGTCCTAATAAAAAAGTTAGCAAAATAAAAACAATAAATCAAAGCAAACAAATAATTAAACTCAAACCTTTCGGGTAACCACCACTTCTTCGATTCCTCCTATGTGTATTCATTGCAGAAGGGCAACAAACCCTTTGCGTTTCCAGTTGAGCCCTGAGCCAATGTCGCTGATGATTCTGTATTCTGGGTAGTGCTGTTAGAGATTTGCAATCTGTCATTTGAGGTCACCTCTTTGATGCTCCAAACTAACTCTGGCATAACAGACCTTGGTCTTTTATGTAGGCTGTATCATGTTGTCTCCAAAGATTCCTCGTATGTCTGTGATTGAATAGAGTCATTTTCCACCAGGTGTCCTGATAATAGCAATTCTTTCAGAGTTGGCCCATCGTCACAATGTTTCGACCGAGATGTCATACATCTCTTTAATTTTATTTGCACTTTGGTAAGTAATCTTGTTTTGCTCCAGGGTTGTTAAAAATATGGTCTTTGTTCAGGAACGTGAGGTTGTCGAAAGAACTGTGTTTCTTAAAACTATTTTTTCTTGTATTTGATTTTAAAATGTGAGGATCTTTACAAAACCATATTAATAATTAGTAAGCTCAGTAATACGAAAGATGTAGTTTATTCAGAATGTTCGAAATTGTCTCAACGGCGTAGACGATATTAATTATATTAATTATATATATAATAACAATTAAGATTAATAGATGATGATGTAATTTTTAAATCACGTACCATTTCACAATTAAACAAATAAAAATAAAAAGCAAATAAAAAAATAATTTTTTCTTTGTTCTTTGATTTATTTTGGTACAGTTTTAGAATTGAACCCAAGGTTTCTTGAACAGTTTATGAGCACCCATGTATTAAGGTTGCTCTTCTTTTGTATATTTGAAAAATAAACCGTTAACAGTGGGTATTGGCAAATAAAATTTATTAATGTAGTTTAGCAAAAAAAAAAAAAAAGAAAGAAATGACAGGCGGGTATAGGTACTACCATTTTTTTTTTTAGAAAATTGTTAAATTCTGACAAATTGATGTTATTAAAATTGAAGTGGCTTGCCGAGATGATATAAAAAATTTTTATATTAGATTAAAATATATCTATTTATGTTAAAATAATTTTGATTTTCGCTTAAAACACAATACTGAATTTTAACAAGACGATACCAATGAAGACCGACTTAAGAATCACAAACATGGCCTGTCCATAGTTGACTTGGACGGACTTGAGGTTGCTGTTTGGTATCATTTTTCAGATATGACGAATATCGGACTAGCTACATGTTATAAGCGACAACCTGTAATAGTTTTACAATAAATTTTTCTTCTTTTGTAAGGGTTTCGTGCTGGAACGGCATTAATGATAACGCAAAATTTTCTTGTTTACTTTAATAATTATCTAATATGAAGTTTTGCTTTGTAGGTACTAATCTAAATTGCCGCATCTCAACGTTTGTGTTCATTTGGCAACGAAGACTTTACTAAAACAGCAATGGAGAATCCCTCAAACGAAAATTAGAAGATATTCTGATCCTTCTTCTAAGGAATATACGTTATTTGTTAAAAATTGGGTTATGAAAACTTTTGATAGAACAGGAAAGATTTATGGCTCTTGACATCTTTTACAACATTCTCCACAAGTAGAAATATTAGAGGTGACAAGTGAAGTTATAATCAGCGAAGTTTAAACTTCTAATTATGAATATACGTCTTTCAGAACAAATACTTGTATCGTTACCCTCAAATATCGAATGAAACCGATAACATTCCTTAAACGCTCGCAAAAAGAAGGAATTTCCAATCTCATATTTAATAAATTATTCAAATTTTTTGTCATAATAATAGTTATAATGTAAAGAAATTGATAAATAATAAATGTTTATTTGTTATTTAGTTTTATCATTTTAATATAAAAACGATTAATTACATTTATTGATATCAATTAAGACTTTAAAAATTAACAGTTTTGAAATAATTCTAAAAAACAAAAAAAATAAATATATATAAATAAATAAAGAATGCATATTTCAAATTTGTTTAAATAAAACCTAAAAATATATGACTTACGTTTCAATCTCGTAATTTCTTCTTGGCTGAACCATAACTAATTCCAAAAGAACGAATTTCTTCAAATGTAACGTAAAGTAAATCTTTTCCCAAAAGTTTTTGCGTTAAAAAATTTCCAATTCATAATGAGAGATATCAAATTGAATCATTTTTCCAAGGAATTGATTCCTAAAATGATTCTTAACTTCCGTTTGTGTCAATTTATCCAAGAGCCTTGGATTTGGTATTGGAAGTACTAAATTATTAAATGCAAGTCCATTTATTTAATCAACAGTTTATATCGGTAAACAAAAAATTTTTTATAAATTCATCACCATTATTTGAAAGAGGAGAAGTTAACAGAATTTGTTACTCAATACTCTCCTTTTAAAGTGAAATTTAGTAACCTCGGGATGCGTATTGATCGACATTAATATTGTATTTATTTTTTTTTTCTCTATTGTGATTATAAACATTTTTTTCATCTCCTTTGTAATATGTGTATTAGGCTTAGTTTATGATTTTCAATTAAATAATTGCACCCAAATATATACCATCATTTATACTATTTAGTTTAGAATGAAGATAAACCTGTCTAGAAACGGCATTTTGATTTCATAATCTAAATAATTGTTCCCAAATATTATTTAATTGAAAATTCGATGAAAAAATTTAAAAATCTAAAATCAAACCATTTTCATGGAAATTATATTTTTAAAGATGTTATTTTATTTACGAAAATGCAATCTATATTAGAAATTATTTTAGTTTTGAATTAATGCTCGATCGAATTTTCGGTAACAAACGGGCGAGACTGTGCTAATCATTTGAAAATCTCCAGAAGTGGTAAGGGTCGAAAAACTTTTACTGGGTAAATTTTCTCACGGAGGCCGCAATTTTTAACGCGTGGCGTGGTTATTTATATTTATTATGTAATGTCAAAGCGAGGTTTCAATTAAAATATCGTTTTTAAATGTTTTATGAGTTCAATAAAATGGGTTTAAATATAAAAATATCTTGCCCTATTGAATGATCGTTGAAAATAGTAGTTTCATAATATATTTTACAGTTATCGTTATCGTTATATTATTTCTCTCTATGGTTTAGTATTTAGTTGTGTAAATAAGTGAGGGAACTTTTACGATCGTTAATCTAATTGCGGTAAATCACTTTGATAAATAAAGTTTTATACTTCTATTAATTTTTAAAGATAAAATAATTGATCACATTATATTGAACGCTAAAGCTGAATCAAATCTTTCTGTTCCACATAAAATCAGACTGTGAATCAATAAATTTAAATCCTTGCTTCCTTTTTTTTTTTTTTTAAAAAAAACAAAAATAAAATAAAATAATCCGTTAATTTGGAAGAGTTGGTCGGAAAATGGATCATTTGATATTGAAATGAGACATACATTATAAATCAGTTTTTTCTTTTCTTTTTTTTTTTTTAGAACATTAACAAAGTCGAGGGGCATGACTATATAGGAGGTCGACTGTAGATGTATCCAGTGACTTTTCGGCTATTGTAAGTGTAAGAAATATTGATGGTAATCCATATGAAGAAATCATTGTTATCACATGAGTTTTTTTTCATGAAAATATGATTCTCCAGTACGAATTAATATGGGTAATTTCGGTAATGTGTAGTTATTAATGATTCATCTATCATTAAACTATTAAAGTAATTTTAATAGAAATTATAAAAAAAAGAATCAAAAGAATAAAAAACAAAAAATTGTTTTAAAAAAAAGGTAGCAAGAAAATAAGAAAAAAAATAAAAGATATAATAAATTGGTTATTTAAATGAAAAAGGTAGAAAGAAAAAAAATTTTGTTGCAAAAGAATATATTGTTTATAAGTAAACACTGCTAGCGGTGGCAGAAAGACAAGATTCGGATCTATTGTTTGTCATACATTTCTTTTTTACTGTAAGCAACAAAAAGAACAAAATAAAAACAACCAATAGATTTGTATGTCTGGTATAGTTGCAACTTTTAATCCCTTTCTTTATATACAGTATGTTACGCCAGTTCTCCATTCAGGGTTATCGGAACTTTTATTAATGAAATACCGTGAAAAAAAATTTATTTAAAAAAAATCTATTGAAATAAATAATGCGCATTGCGCATAAATGCATCTGAAATAAAATTAAAATTAAATATCGACGAAAATAAAAAATAAATAAATTAAAATAATAAATTAAAGAAAAAAAATCGCGGGTATTAAAAAGATTAAAACAATAAAATAAATTATTAAAAAAATTAAAAAATTAGATTAAAAAAAATCATTATTTTAAACATCACGGATATTAATTAAAAATCAATCAGTTTGGAAATGTTAGCGAATTAAATGCGTGATTAATCCTAGAAAAGAAAATATTAAGTTGGTAAATATATATTACATATAAAATAAAAATTTTTTTTTCTGACCAAATGACATCTAAAGTAGTTTTAGAAATATAAGGCGTAAGATTGATTTTTGTTTCTCATTTATCCACTTTATCCTTTATTTGACTTTTAATGTCAAAGCTACGTGGAACATATTCTAATTATGCAAAAAAAAAAAAAAATTTAATTATTTTATAATTACATCTATTGCAATAGAATTACTTTAATGGTATTAGGAGTGAAAGCATTTTTCTCTGTCTCTTGTGCATTTGTCCTTAATGGAAAGCACCTCGACCAAGAATAAGCTTAAAATCTCTCCTCAGTGCATGAAGTTTGACAAAATCGAATCCATAATATCTTGGATTAACTTCAGTAAGATTTAAAGAACTCAATTCGAGCATTTCATGATATGCGAACCTTTTTTTTTTATTATTTGAAAACACAATTAACGGTCGACCTAATTTTTTATATACTAATAAAAGTTCAATAGAACCTTATTAAAATTTATTTTTTTAAAACCAATTCTAATTTCAGACACCTCTATTTCAGATGGCCTTGTGATTTTATCTGACGAAATAATTATTTAATAAATTTTAAATAGCATAACAACAAATTAGTGTCGCATTTACGACCTTACTTGATCAAAGTATATTTGGAATCGATAACATGTTACAGACGGAAATACTTAACGTTAATTTTATTTCTTGCGCATATAATTTAAACTTCAACCTTAGAAACAATTAATTCAACATACGGATCAGGTTTACCAAATATACCAACCTTTTTTTTAACAACAAATCCTTTAACAGGTCGAAAAGTAAAATTTCTAACTAGCATACCTAATAATACTTTAAATTCACTTAAAGCTATTTTGTTACCTATACAAGATCTCATACCAGTACCGAAAGGTAAATAATTATAATTTGTCACATCTTTAATTAATGAAGGATTTAACCATCTTTTTGGTTCAAAATAATCAGCCGTTGGTCCCCAAATCGAAGGTAATCTTTGAAGCGTCGCGATTGGAATATCAATAGTAGAACCCTATTAATTATACGTTTTTTTTTAATAAACTTTTTTAGAAAGTACATTCTTAACCTAACCTATTATGAAGAACAATAAAATATTAACATACTTTTGGAACAAAATGCTCGCCAATAACCATATCTTTGATATTAGAACGTTGAAAAAACGAAACTATAATGAAATTATTAGTTAATAAAGCTATTATGTAAATTTTAATTTGTTAAAAAAATTTTTAAATAAATATACCTGCAGGATATAATCTTAACGTTTCTTTAACTACGCAATTTAAGTATTCCAAAGAATTAATTTCGTCATAAGTGGGATTAAATTTTGATTTATCGGGAAAAGCTTTAACCAATTCTTCACGTAACATATCCTGCGCATCTTGATGCTTTGCAAGCATATGTAAAGCCCAAGCTGTTGAATTACTCGTAGTATCATGTCCTGCAAATAATATTGTCATGATCTAAATATTCAAAGAATAAATGAAAAAAAAAACCGATTAATTACAAAAATTTTTTTATAAAAAAAAAAAATTTGTTTATTCACCTGATATTTCAGTTCTTCATCGGTCATCTTTTCTTCAACGGATAAAGTCTTGTTGATTTTAATTAATGTAGACAATAAATCGTTTCCATCCAATTTGTTATTTCTGTCATCATGGTATTTTTCTTCAAGAAACTTTCTTGATTCGCGTTCAATAACTTTACATGCATTATTAAATCTTCTGTTTATAGCTATTGGGATTTTTCTGACAAATGGGACATAAACTGATGAAATACTAATGCAAAGGTTAAAAGCAGTTATTTTGATGGTTACTAAAGATTCGTAAGCTTGTGCTAATTCACTTGGAGATGTTAACGAATTAAACTCGTGATTAAATCCTAGAAAAAAGGAAATTTTTAAGTTTGCAAACTATATATGTATATATAAAAAAAAAATTTTTTTTATTCTCTAACCAACTAAGCCAATGACATCTAAAGTAGCTTTGGAGACATATGGCGTAAGATTGATTTTAGTTTCTCCTTTATTCACTTTATCTTCTATTAGACTTTTTAATGTCAAAGCTACGCGGGCAAATGTTGGAACCATATTCTAATTGTGCAAAAAAAAAAAAAATTAATATTTATTGAATTACATCTACGCAATAGATT